GCTGTACTCGTTTCTTCGCATACAGTTTACTATATAAAATTGGCAAACCAATAGAGCTTAAAATTCCTAGACAGCACAGAATTGTCATAATTTTTATACAAATTATAGTAAATTTCACGCCCTTCAACAAGTATAAAAGACAAAGTATATTTATAAAAGTACTAATACATCTTTAGAAATTTATAATGATCTTGATATGATGAAAAATCCAAGAAAAGTATTTAAATATATAAATATATTATTGAAATTATACGTAACTAACGCTTGAAAAATAAAAAGTTATCCTCTCTTTGTGTAACATCTATCGTTTTCACTTGTATCACTTCAAACAAATTAGTTTATTTTATTAACTTCATTATGCACTATTAGTTTTTTTTTTCGTGATAATTAACATTGCGTTGTATAGTTAATTGTATAATACAATTCTAAGTACCTTCATTCAAGTATTTTGTCTCGAATTAAAAGATTATACCTTTTCTATTGAATTTCTTACTTTTCGTTCATTTCGTTCAATTTCATTGTACAGCAAAATATTTTCTAAAGATATAAACTAAATATATTCATTATTTTCTTTATTAAATTAAAGAAGACAAAAAGTACTAATATCCTTAGAGTTTTTGGATATAAAATAAATATTTTCTATTTTAAACTTAAAAATTCTTTAAATGATAATGCAACTTGGATGGTCTATTATTTTGAATAAGATAAGGTAAAGATAATTAATAAAATTATACAATTAATCGTTTCCTTGCTTCTCAAATTAAGTGTACTTAGTATTTAGACTACTCAAACGTCTATAATGGATTCATATAAACAATAAATTACCTTTTGCTTTGTATTAACCATATTGGTAATAACCATATTAGTATTTAAAAGCTTAAGAGTTTCTGTATAAATAATTTTTTTATAATTAATTAATCAATTTGTATTTAAAGTGAAACGTAGAATTAACGAAAATTGTGGCAAGACTATTTACAGTTACAAGTTTAAACATCTACAAATGGAATAATAATTATCCGATTATATTAAAATATAGATCGATAAATTTTCAATAATAAATATTAGGTTAAAATTAACCTCAATAGATTAATATTAATTTCAATTATTTTTAATAAACTTAAATTACGTCTCGAAAAATATATTAAAAAAAAATATTTTATTTATAAGCAAAGAATAATTCATTTTTAACATGCTTTAACATTATTTTAAACTTGAAATGTGAGAGAAACATATAATATCGTAATGCATGCCATAAAACCATACTATACGACATTTCGCATTAAGTGGGCATTCTAGGGAGTTCAAAATTGTTTTTTGCAAATATTCCATTATATAAAAAAAAAGGAACATATAAGTAGATTCATGAAAGATACGACGAAAATGGAATATGCACATAAGCATGATTCTTTAATAAATATTTTAAAATACATGACTAAAAAATTTTGTAATTATGCAAAAGTAGACCCCCCTTCCAAATAAGGAAATTGAAAAAATTGAAAATGTAATAGATACGTTAAAAATATTCGTTTAGATGTTACATCATTAAAACAATCACATCTTACTAAAATTAATGTCTCGTGAAGGAAATATTTGGATTGCAAATATTTTGAAACATCTTGAAATCTATAAACCAAAGGAGTATCAAATATTGATATATATTAATTAAAAAATAAAAAATTTTAATTATAAAAGATTTAGCTGTTATACATATATATAATTATATTAAAAATACATGTGCAAGTTTTTCCGCAGTTTATTTATAGGATCGGACGAGTAAAAAATTAATGTTTCTGAAATCGATACTTGCATAAGCTAGACATAATCGATCGAAGTAGCAGTTGAGTTACAGTCAAGCAAATTGAAATCTCTTGAGCAACGAAGCTACGATGCGCGTGTGTAGTAACGAGTCTAGTACATTCGAAGAAAAAAGTAGGTTGCTTATCGGCATTATCGACCTCGCCAAAGTTCAAGTCTCGCAGTAAGGGTGTCGACTTGGCTACAAAGGAGCGTAAGCGCGGATAGGGTGTTCGCCAATTTCGATACCTTCGTCGGTAGTCGATCACCCCTGCCCCTCGACAAAGCTTTGATAACAGGGTGGTAGGTCCAGTTCCTTTGCCTTGAGGAAGTGCCTCGTCATCGAGTTCGACATCCGCCGGTCTCCTTGACAGGCTCTCATTGTCTCACACGTGCGCGCCCAGCCGTCGTCGCTGTCGTCGTCGTCAACGGCGCTCGGACGGCGCTCCAGCGTCTCTGGCCTTAGGCGCCACCGGGCTCTCCTACTCCCGCGCCACGTGTTCTTCGATTCCCTTTCCCCTGGCAAGCACCGCGACTCCGGCCAATCCGCGCCTCGTCTACGAAACGTTGGGCACCCGCTGCACGAACACATGCATGGGCGCCGGTTTCAAACCCGGCCCTCCACTACGCAGGTTCACGCACACAAACGCCACATACGCACACCTTCTCTCTGTCTGGCTCATAGAGAGACTGTAGGAGCGCAACGCTGCTGGTTTTTTGAGAGGAGCTGCCGTGGACGGCCAGTGCCAGTCAGTCGCTTCCAAGCGCTCCGTCGAGTCGGTTGTGTATACACCGAGTGCTCGTGTACGTTTCCCATCTCGTGGGATGTACGAAGCGATCGGTCGATTGATCGTGGAGCCAATTGTTATTTAAAACGGGAAATCGGTCCTTGACAAAGTACGACTATCGATAAGTGCTCAAGAATTGTATGATCGGTGATTTTTGTTGTAAAAGAAGAAGAACGCAACGGAAAGACTGGTTGGCCTGTTTGTGTACAACAGCCGATTTTCCAATTTTCGTTTATTTCTCAAATTCACACACACGCACGCACACGCACGCACACACACACGTACTATATCTCACTCACTCATTATTCTTACTTCTCATTATCTTACTTCGGTATACGATGCGCCTTTGACAATCGAAGAGAATCGTTGATTTTTTGTGCGGAACGTCGATAGCGATTGCCGAGCACTTTCTGAAAAAAGCGCAGAAGGTAAGGCGTAAAGCTAAGGCTCGGTGTGACGCCAACAAGTTCTTACGTATGCATTTGGTATAATATAAAAAAACCTGCTGTTGTCGGGTAAATAAGCCATCGGTGGTGAGGAAGAACGCTGGTCGCACACGAATAAATAACACGGGAATTGCCCTGGTGGAGTTTCGGCGCCGCTGGGCTGTAGGGGAGGCCGAGGAAAAAAGAAAAAGAGAGGGAGGCAACAGATAGAAAAAAGTAGAGCGATATGGTACCGCGGGAGCTGATCGCGTTGGCGACGCTGACGACGCTAAGCGTCGCGACGTCGGCAGCTGCCGTCGCGGCGGCGTCGATTGACTTCGACCTCGCTGGCGGCGGTGGTGGCGGCAGCGGCAGCGACTACGAGGTGCTGCCCGACACGGAGGAGAGGACATCGACTGCCGACAACGACGACGTCGCCGGTAACAATTTACTAAATACACATTCGCTCAATCTACTATATGCATGTGTACGTGTACAATGTGTGTCATTGGCGCGCTTTGGTGTAGCCGATAAGGATTTGTGGGTGAGCGGCGGTGAGGATATTTTTATTCCTAGTATGTTTGCCAATGCGCGTGTAATTGAACCTTGTGACGAAAAAAATCGTTGCGATTTATCATTCTTCTCATCCGCATGTGGGCTTTTTCGCGGTACGCTGGGTCGATCGAGAAAGAATTTCGTCGAATTATGATATTCATGCGATTGTATGACATTATACGGTATCACTGTCGCATTTGTACGATTGACGACAATAACGGGTCGCGTTACTTATTGTTAAGACGGTGTGATGTAATTGATTCCCCGTCGGCTACTAAATCTTTATCGATAATCATTGAGGTGCTTACGATATGCATTGTTACTTCAGACCAATGAACTCAGCGCACACTCTCATATACATATTTATGTTATAATTATTGTTTTACTTTGCATAATTTACAGTGGCATTTCAGCTATATGGAATTTGACTACTAATCAAAAACATAATCAAATGTGCTACAAATACAACTCTTCCACGTATAATAATTTTAGTAACACAATATAATAATAATAATTGAGAAATAAACTTAAATCTTGATGTACGATATTGCGGATCCGAGTATCCACGATTTGACATACATCTTGACAATTTAATATTTTAATAATGGGTGTTTTAAAAATTAAATTTCAATAAATAGATAAGCGAATAAATGAGTGGTTTGATCAATTTTATATTATGATTAAATAACATTATAAATAATAAGTGATTAATTAAACATTTTCTATCTGTAATATCATATTTTTTCTTTTCCAAGTTAATTAAATTCATGAAATATTCATTAAAAAAAAAATCCCTTCAAAAAAATTCAATGAGTTCCTTAATATTATATGTCGTTTTATTTTTACTATACATTACATTATTATTAATTCATGTAATACATAAGCTCGTAAAGTATTACTTTGTACGATTACTTTATAGCATTGTTTTATATTACTTTTTAAGTATTACTTTATAAAGTAAAAGTATTACTTTATAAAAATTAGAATATATAAATATATTTCTATGACCGTTGTGTATGAAAAATTTGGGAATTCATTATAATGAAGTATATTTTTGAAATATTAGATATTCATTAAGTATGAATTTGTAACCTCTGTAACTACATGTTATTTACATTAATTGTAATTGTGGAAAAAATCATACGCGAATATTACTTTAATGTTTTATATTCGAGAAAGTTTTAATATAATTTAATATTCAAAATGTTTGTTTTGTATATGAAAAAAAATTACATAATTATACATATTTAAACATATTCAATTAAAATAAATTAATTTTTATTAAACAAGTCTGGATATATTTTTTAATTATAGAAAAAAGATTATTAATTTTTCTTATACACTTGAATGGCTGTATACGATAAGAATTTATCTTTACATGTAATGTCAAAGTCCATGCGCATTTGACTCAAATGTACAAATTCACATTTCACTTTTCATAGTAAATAATTACTTTACAATTAATTTAAAGTGTTTTACAAATTTTTCATTATATTTTTGTTACATTAAAATGGTATAAATATCTTATTATATGGGAAAATAAAACTGTTTAATATTAATGAAAAGTTCATGAAAATAGAATGATTTTATTTTAAATCAGTTGCAAATTTAATTGGTATAATAAAAGGCCGATTCAAATAACAAAAGATTCAGTACAATGCAAATTTCATAAGCTTTCATGCATAGTTCTTGAGCTATAAACTTCTTTTTATCAATTCTCTTCCGTAATTGCTTATAAAGTAACTATGGCGTTAATCGCTCGTTAACTATGCAACCCATAAATTTGCAGCTGAGCAATGGATTTAAACAACTCATATATTCCACTTTTGTTCACATACAAAGCTAGCAATGCTCAAAAGTGTAAGCGATCTCCTTATTGCGAGTAAATCGATGTATTTATAGTACAATTTAATGCAGTAATCGTTTTGAATTTTGACTTATTTGCTGGTGAAGAAAGCTCGCGTCGACCTATAATAAAAAAAATAGGCTTTATTGAAGTGATAAGACTGCAACTTTGTTCAATCGTGAAAGATTTGTGAAAATTTCTCATCCAGCCTTAATTGCTCATAAAGTTTTGTTTTCGGGTGTGAAAATTAAATTCGAATTAAAATCCATCGAGAGAGACTGGCCTCTTTCTAGTTAGCGCAACGAGGCCATAAATCCACGTCGAATGATTTACGGCGATGAGAAGTGCCTCGCAGTTCACAGATTCATAGGAACTGCTCTTCTTTCTCCACCTCTTCGTCTTGGCTCGTCATCCCACACGTGCATTGATACACAGGTGTGAGTCAAATTGTGGGCGGTAGCGGTAGGGGGCCGGGAAGGGTAAGGGGAAGGACTAATTATCGTGAATATTTGTAGTCGAGCTTAATGTATTGTCGCTTTGGCTCAGTTCACTCGAGGCTAGAGCTCCTTTATCCATTGTGGCAAAAGAGAGAGGGAGAGAGCGCGGCATAGAGGGCTCGTTAGTAAGAAAAGGATGTACCAGATGAAATGAGGAGAAAAAAGCGCTCCGTTCTCGAGGTACAGCTGGTGTTTTTCCTTTGTCCCATTTTCTCGACGATGGAAAAGAGTTTCGTGTGCCGTTTTTTCAGTCAAGTATTACGTACTTAAAGCATATATCTGAAAAGAGTATACTTATGCTAGAAATGATACGAACAAAAAGTTTTCAATTTTCAAAAGGGATGATTTTATTTAGAATTATTATTAAAAAAATTATTTTCGTATTAATTTACTTTTTTCCAATAATTTTTTGTATAAAGATGATAACAATTATGGAAGATTCTCATTCCATTCGTATGGAGTTCAGTACGAATTATAAATTAAATAAAAAGTTTGATTTACATGTTTAGGTGAAAGTTTGTTACTCAACCTTAGTAAGCAAGTAAATAAAATTTTTTTTTTTTAAATAATGATTTATATCTTGTTAAGGAAATGTTTCAAATAGATACATAACAATAATACATATATAATTATTTAAGATTTATCAAGCATTTCGGTGAACCGATAGAATGGGTTCATTATACACGAGCCTTTAGCATACTTTTAGAACAAAGTGGGGGGGGGGGAGGATCCGTATAAATTTCATAATATAAAGCGCCTTTCCAAGCAAGGATGTCACATGTAAAAAAAATGAATAGAAATACACGAAATTTATTTCGTAAATTATAATTCTTAATTTTTTAAATTATAAAATATTTTGTTTATTATAAAAAATTAAGAATATAATAACAAGATATATTCCCATATATATATATATATATATGAAATGAAAAATTTCATTTATAAATTCATCAAGACTTTAGTAATCTGTTATTGAGAGAATGTCTATATTCACGAACAATGTGGAGTTGAATTTTATTAAAAAGATGAAAACTGAAAATTTTTACATCTATAGAAATATTCGGATGTACAAACATCCATGTAATAACACGTAGCTGATATTTACTTAGCAGTTTTGACATTTATCACTCATCTTGCTGTCTTTAAAATTGCACGATGTTTTTCAATTCCGTCTCTCGTCAGAAAATTGGCAGCTCCTGGCATATCTTGGAGTCACTAGCCGGTGGTGCCAGTAGCCTCACACTCGTTTAATAATAGCAAGTGTAACCTTACAGCGGGACGAACACGTGGGCTGCAAGCTGCGTCTTCTCTCTCTCTCTCTCTCTCTCTCTCTCTCTCTTTGTCACTCTCATTCTCACTCTCGTACGCCACGCACGCATATACGCGTCATACCGCCCTCGAGCGAAGTACCCGTACGGATGTCGAAAATAACGAGGTCTTAAAACACTCATTGCTGAAGCCAAGTACGCATATTGGCAGAGCTTTTCAAAGATTTTTAGAATTTACGTGGGAGTTTTGTTGGAACTCTAAAATATGCAGAGGAATCAATCGATAAATTCCAAGGAATGATTTATATTCTTAGGTAAAATAACTTTAGCAATATTTGCATAATTATTATTATTAAAAAAAAAAAAAAAAAAGAAAAAAAATTATGCGTTTAATAACAGTCGGGATAAGTTATAACTACTGAAGGACAAAAGTAGGAAACTATTTTAAGTACTTACGCGATTTATAGCAAGTAATGATTTGATTACATATAGTTAAAATTATCTTTCAGACATAAGTATTTGTTTTTGATAACTAATGCTCAACTGCAATAAAATATTGAGTTGGAAAATTTTAATTATTATTGGCACTTGAAAGAATTATAAGTAACAATGTTTTTATTCACATCATTTAAATATATTTGGAGACAATGTTTTAGCGTATACAAATGTATATTGCTTATTTCACATAAATGAGCTGTATACAAACGGTTTTATCACACTTAAAAGATTAAGATTCGAGTAATTGAAATCTAAAAATATGTGAAAACAATAATATGTACAAATAATTACATGAAATTTAATACAAGATTAACAAAAATCCACTTGAAGATGCATGGGGTAAAAAATGATTAAAGATTTTTTGCATAAGTCTTTTAATTTTATGTCAAATAGCAATAATATCCTTAGTTAATTGCTTAGCGCTTTATGCAGTAACGTACAAATAACGGTCGAACTCTTGTTTAATAAATCAAAACCAATCAAACTAATTGCCAAATTCATAGGCCCATCATAATCTTAATCTTCAAAATGTCTCGTATATATTATATTAACTAATAGTCATAATGTTTAAAGAACAATAAAACGTATATCTTGGAAAGAATACTATAGATGTAAGAGAGCGAAGACCTCGATTGAGTTCGAGCATTGGAATTTTGATTGTCTGTGGAATGCGAAGATGGTAAGATGATTTTATAAATGCGTTATACAAGCAATAAAATGATGATGTAAATATAAAATAGTGATAAATACGTGATTAGTACAAAGGCTAAATATAA